CTCTAGACTGTGAGCTCCTTCAAGGTACAATGTCTTTCATTTTTTGGGGGGCTAGGGGGTTCTCAACCTGTGATTTAATTGGCACAGTAATGGTCCTGTGGAAATGCAGATCAACAACTTATACACAAATTAAAATCTTAGAGAATTACAAGGGATACTGAGAGGTTAAATGACTTGCCTATGATCACATAGGTGACAAAGGTTGTATGTGTCAGAAGTAGGACTTGAATCCCTTCCAAGACCTGGCTGTCTCCCTGCCTTCCACATATTAGGCTCTTAATATATATATTTATTGATGTTGAGTTTAAAATATTACATGCCACTGTGTATGCGACTCAGATTGGGGAGAAACCAAGTACATCTGTACCTGTTAGAGACCTTTTCAGATAGACAAAAATGATGATAGCTCCTTGTGGTAATAAAAACCTGTAAATTGGAATAGTTTTTCATTTTACATGTGTTTTAACATCCTTGAGCATTTTAATAGAAGGATCCTTTAGAGATCAAAAAAAAGAATACTAAACAGGGACCCACTGATAAAAATTAATACCATAGCTATTCCTTTGCATATCTTAAATAGGACCATTTACTCTGAGGAACTTTGACAGGCTCTGTGTGTGTGTGTGTGTGTGTGTGTGTGAGAGAGAGAGAGAGAGAGAGAGAGAGAGAGAGAGAGAGAGATAATGTTGCTGATGCAGTTATATTGTCTCTTAACCATTAAGCCACATACCTACTGAAAGCAGAAATAAAAAAGAATTGCTACTTAGGAATAACTTCAACATATTTCTCTTTTATACCAAAACACTAACAGTAAGCACAGAAAGGTTCCCTATCTTAAATTACAATTATTTTTCAGTTTGACAATCATCAATCATCAGGAAATCAAGATATGAAGTGTACTTACTCTTCAAAAAATTAATTAAAAGATGTTATTTACAGAGCCATGTCTTGCCTATATGATGGGTATTTGTAAAAGTAAAAGTAAGCTGGAAACTAGGAAAAATTTAATTTTTAAAAAATAAGCAAAATATAGTCACACTTGGTTTTAAAATAATCTGTTAGTAGCTTCCTATACATTTATTTACCTAAGAGAAACAGAGACCTAAACAAAAATAGGGGGAAAACCACAAGGAATCTATACCCAACTTCAAAGGATAAATGATTATAGTCATAAACTGTAAGTTAGATAATACATTTTGAGTATCTTAAAGAATGTCACACCCCTTAGAGCTGTATACAATTTAAATCTTGTCTTGATGTGCATAAGCTCATTTGGCTACTACTGCAATCTCTGAAGAATTATAGCTAAAACTGTCCAGGTGCAAATGCAGCTCAACAAAATTACTTGCTTCTCAATTTTGTGAAGGTAGCTTCAAACAATTATTTATGCTTCCTCTTTAATTCTTCAGCAATCTTTGGTTAATTTTTTACTTCAGCCTAGGAATTTAATAAGCTAGAAATTGCAAAAGGGCATATCCACTTCCGTCTTTGGAAACTAGGTAGAAATTAGTCATTCTTCTGTAACTTAGTATGTAAGTCCTGGAGAATTTCCTAAGGCACACAGAGGTTAGTTGGCCAGGTTTCCATGGCTAGAAACAGAAATTCGAATGCAGTTCTTCCTGAGGCCAAGTCTAGTGATATTGCTACTATACCACACTTAGCTCAGTAAGAAGAAAGTAGGTAAAACTCCTATGAAAGCTGCCAGATGAAGATACTCACCTGCAAGTTGGATTTTTCCCTTCAGTTAAAACATGCACAAACTTTTTTTAGCTGGGCTCTCCTTTCAAATTATAACCAGTCTTTGTAGTTTAATTTGTCTGGAACTGTTTTGATGTCTTCATTTGGATTCTGACCTAAAATGTATTTGCACAACGTAATTTTAAAATGTGCATTGTGTGAGGTGTTTCCTCTTAAGAATTTCAGCAAATATCATTTATTTCATGTCACACAGGACTGCAACTAAAATATTCTGTGAAAGGCTTAAAAGCCAAAGGAAAGAATGCATTCTGGGGCTACACTGACTAAAATTTATTTTTATTCTAGGTGACCCATAACATACTGGTAATCTTGGCTTGTTTTACTTGTCATACATATCCCTCTTTAATATTTATACTGGTCTCTGCAGAGGTCTGAATAACTTCATATACACAAAGAACAGTAGGGGGCATATGAAGCACTTTCCTTTTGTCCTGGTATTTAGATCATTAATCTGGGGGGAAAAAAACCAGTTGGCTTTAAAACATCACTACAGATCTTACTTTGGAAATGAAGTTGTTTTTTCCCTCCTTTATCAACTGACCTTTTAAAAACTGACTTTATAATACTGTAACTTAGCAAAGTTAAGAAAAATTTCCAGGAAGAATTCTACCAGTTTGCAATGTTTAAAATAGACAGCTCCCAAAGGCAATCTTTCATTAGGAACCTACTAGTTTGCATATGTAGTTTGTGGTGGGAGAGAAACAGAAATAAATATACTACACCTAGAATAGAAGAGTGCAGGGGTGGGGCTTTAGTGATTGAATTGGTACTATGTCCCATTCAGTGCTAACCCATTTCTATCTCATTCTCTGGTTTCTTTCCCCCATTTCACTAACACAGAATGGTGCTGTCAGTAAAGACAACATCATTACTTCAGTCCCAGTTACCATATAGGCATTCATAATAACCTCTCAAGTGCCCAAGGCAATTATCTAAAACCATACATTGCAAAAGTTTTAAATCTGCATTGATTGGAGAGGGAGTTTCTTTGCACTGAGATCCCTATGCAAATTAAATCACAGGTCTAGATATCTTTTTAAAAAATCCAAATAGAAATCAATACAGAGGGCCCCAAATGTCTTTTGAAATACTATCTAAATTATTATCTCATACTTTTAAAAGTAGAAAACACCTAACTAGTGCAAAAACACAAATTCCATCAGTAGTGGTATGTTTTTGTTTTGATTTGATTTTTACCTGTTTCTCTCCGAGGCTTTTGGGATTTAACTGCCAATTTAATTATGCGAAGTATCTTATAGCTTCAGAACATCCTTTTCAATTTGAGGTTTTTTTTTTCTCTTAGGCCTTTCTTTTTTTGAACTAGACCTATAATTCATTGGTATAGAGAATTCTCATGAGGAAACTTCCTCTACTGATGCAGATTTGCACTTATTCTGAAACTTAGAGCCTTAGAGATAGTCACACGGATACTGAAAGGTTAAGTCATTCACCCAGGGTCGCACAGCCAGTAGATGTCAAACACTGTTCTTGAACCCAGGTCTTCTTGATTCCAGGAATGACTTTCCATCCCTAACATTAAGGTACCTTTCCATTTGTTTTTACCACCCTGGTGTTTGCTATACCTGAAAATGGTTGCTACAAACAAGCCGGGGACTCTTTAAAATTTGAGCTCCATACTATAAATACAATTTGGAACAGTCATATTGCAACTATTAAAAGCTTATTTTCCTGAGGAATCTATGAAATTAAAATGTTCTTAAAGCTTTAACCAGCTATAAGATTCACTCCATTAAAACATTAGCCTAAAGTAATATAAATATAGGTTTCCTCTCCAACATAATTTTACATTTTGAAAATCTGTTAAAAAATTTTCGTTCCTTAAATGTTATGTTCTTATAATGTAAGTTTCTTAAGATTAGATATTGAACTACATCACACATCTAGATAAGAAGACATTTACGCTCTCCATTACCTTCCTAAGCTGTCCCTGAGAACAAGAGGCTCCTCCTGACTTATTTTTGGGTCTGATTTACTGAAATACAGTGTGGATGCCATGTTCCTTCCTATTTAGATTTGAATGTCTTTGAGTCTACCTTATTTGTATAATACCTAGCACAGTGCCACACACAGCATGCCATTTAGTAATTACTGTTTAAGGAAAATGATTATCAGAATCAAGTTTCTAGAATGGATGAACACTTTCATTCTCTTTGTTTCAATCTTTTATAGCATTATCCATCATTTATGACTGACACCCACCTAATTGCTTAGATTGCCCATGAATGACTTTAAATCAGTGGTGTCAAACTCAAATTGAAATGGGGACCACTAAACTGTACATAAGGATCCCTTCAGGCCACATATTGATTTAGTAAACCACATATTAACATTATAATTTGGTGTGGCCACACTTGGGAGTGTCATGGGCCACATGTTTGATATCTGTGTTCTACATCATCTCTAGTTTGTAGGTACTGTTAGAACTTTGCTACTTCTCACTTTGGAATTGTCTTCTGTTGTTCTCATTACCAATTTGGAAAGATGGTATCAAACCACTACAAAAAATGATGTGTACATATATATATTAAACATTTTATTATAAGTTAAAAATAAATAACACTCAAAACTAAAAGTCCAAATTGTGAGTTTCACTTTGCTTCCACTTTCACTTAGAAAAAGATGTGTATTGTGTTTAATTAGCAATTTAGACAGTCTCTCACCAAGTCAGTGAAACAAAACATACTCTGTATTCTTCAGGAAAGCCCAACAATAAAAAATACATTTCTAAAACAAATAAACCAAGGCCCTTGGGTCTAATTCATTTTATGCTCTAGGCACAGAGCCTCACTAACCCTAAGATAAGTGAATTAAGTTCTCTATTTAAAGTTTTTTTTTAATACTTTTGTGCTTGACTGTAAAAAAAAATTTCTCAATACTTTATTTCCCCCCTCAAAAAATAATGAGACCTTGGATATCCAATATTAAACTAATAAAGTGATTTCCATTCATTTATATTGTTAGCTTTGTCTTGCAAAATTATAGTTTTTTCCATCAAAATCTCAATATTTGGGAGAATGAATTAATGTATATAAAAGCATTTATTATGTGCAAGCCACTTGTGTTAAGTGCTGGGGATAAAAATACAGAAAGCAAGATGATCCTTATCCTTAAGGTGCTTACATTCAAATAGAGGAAGATATTTTATATAGATAGATATTGATATATATGACAGATATGATAACATATCAATATCATATAACATATCTATATAATATATCTATATGCAATATAGATATATCACATCTTTCATGTCTTATAAATATCATATTTATATATACACATATATATGATATATTAAGGAAGTAGGAGCCAGAGATGGTTTTTTTTCATTTGGAAAAACATAAGAATGGTGAGTAGAATTATAGGGCATTGATTTGACACACCCTTTTCAGAAATGGTAGTGTTGATTTAATTAGTGTGTCCAGACTAAGAGGTAGAAAGGGAAAAGGACACTCACAATGGAGTAGCAAGAAGATGGGCAGAATGTGACTAGGAAGATCTGGGGGTGACTACATATGGTAAACTCTCACCCATAATGAAAGCATGAGAATAGTGTTTGTGATTTTAACAGCTCTGTTAAAATACTGGAGGGGAACTATTACAAAAGTGATAGCATGTTTAATGACAATAAAATATTCAAGTAACATTTCCTTATAATAATTAATTATACACTGTCCTTTTCTCTTTCTTCCTCCTGCCCTTCCCTTTACACATGGACAGGCAGGGATTTCCAAGCATAATTCTAGTGGCTTTCCTTATAAATTATATGAGGATGAAAAAAAAAGAAATATGAGAGTGGGCCATTGTTTACTCCTAATAGAACTTTGAAAATAGTACCCCCCCCTTCCCTTGCATCATCCTTTTATCCCTGTGCTTTCTCCAAGGTTCCAGATATTTATCCCCATTCTCTCTCCAAGGTTGCAGATAATATCACACTGGCCCTCAGGATTAAGTAAATTATCCCTTGGTGGTCTTTTACTAATACTCCATGGAATTTTCTATTTGGTTTGCCTTGTAAGTATTCAGTCTCAGGATCTTCTTCCATTTTCTTTTCCCCCTCTACAAGAAGTAGATGCTGTGCCTCCACAGTCTAATGCTTTTTAAATTTCTTGATATGAATAACTGAAAAAAAGATATCAGCTTTCAGAATTGATAGAATAGAGCAATATTTGGAGGGATCCCTAGGGCTAACCCAAGCATAACAGTTGGTTAAAATGAGGTTATTTCCTTATTCTTTTCCTTTGCTATTGACCATTCTTTATGACCTGTGGAAATATACAAATTTCATTGCACTTAGTGTTAGCAAGAGATGTATCCATATGCACCATCCTGGATGATCAGCTTGACCAAAGTCTTGTCTCCACTGGTATGAAAATGAAGCCTCCCAATAATTTTCCCTCTCCCAGAGAGCTCAAACTACCCCAAGAGCCTCAGTCAAAGTGCTACTGTGTCTGATCTTTTTCTTGAAACTTCCTGTAATCGCTTTTCTAATCGATCCAGTTTGGCCAGATTTTCCTTCAGCAACTTGCTATTTGGAACCAGTTGTAAGGCTTTCTCATAATAACCTCTCGCAGAAACATAGTCTCCCTGTGGGGGAAAAAAGAAGAGTTACATTCTGTTCCATAAGAATACTGCCATCTGAGAAAGGCAAATATGAGAAATCAACCATCTACACTCAATTTAATATTAATGTTAAAAAAGGAAATATTCCACACTACTGGCAATTTTATCCTTGTTGGTGGACACTCTCCAAAAATATATTTGTTTTAAGTAGGGGACCAGATGGGGAATGTGAAGAAACAAGAATCAAACCATAAGATGGGATATAGGAAGAACAGATTTTCAATTCTGTTAATGCAAGGTATGAGAATTTGGGGTAAAGCATTTGCAAATGACAGCAAGGCCACTACTTAAAGGCCTTCTCATGGGTAGAACACAGCTGGTGCATTTTGGTGTTGAGGTAACCTCAATGAATTTTAGGTCATTCTCTGAGACTGACCTAGATGACCAGGTAGGTGGCACAGTGCAGAGCCTGGTGTCAGGAAGACCTGAATTCAAACCTAGCTTCAGATACTTACTAACTGTGACTTAATTTCTGTTAATTTCTGTTTGCCTCAGTTTCCTCAACTGAAAAGTAGGGATAACAATAGCACCTTCTTTCCAGGGTTGTTGTGAAGATCTGGTGAGACAGTATTTCTAAAGTACTTAGCACAGTGCCTGGCACATAGTCAGTGCTATATAAATGCTAGCTATTATTGTTATTATGGATTGTCATGTGCAATAGTAGAACACCAATAAAACCACAATCAATGATGTTATTTTGGGAAGGTTTTTTTATCAGCATAATTCCTGCTACTATCTCTTCTTGGGAGCAGTATATGAGAAGGGAGGAAATATCTCATTACCCCAGCTGTTGCTCTTACTGCCAATCCAAATCCAACTGTCCTCATATGTTCTATCCACTACATCACTGTCAGCCCTGTTGTCTTCATGGTTTTCATTCTCTTGCCTTCTTTGTCTTTTCTCCACTCTTGATTCTAGAGCTTTCCTCAGCTACCCTTTTGTATGCCCCTTTGTCTATGAGGTCTCAGTTCATTCTCCAATCCTTGCCCTTTGCTCCTAACTAATTCCTAATTCCAGACTTTCTTATTTCTGTTAATGGCGTAGTGACATTGGCACATTTACCCAGATTTAAAACCTTGGATTTGCAGATGGTTCCTCTCTCACCATTAACACTCAATTAATCTCTAAATGAGAAGATAAGGAAATAAGCATTTATATATAATGCCTACTATGTGCCAGGCACTATGCTAAGTGGTTTTTACAAATATTTCATTTGATCTCATAACCCTGGGAGGTAGGTGCTATTATTATAAGCAGACAGAGGTTAAGTGATTTGCCACAGGTCACACAGCTCTTAAGGTTATATTTGAATTTAGGTCTTTCTGATTTCAGGCAAAGCATTCTATCCACTGTGCCACCTAACTGCCTAAACCTTATAGATTTCTAGATTACACTGCCAAATACCGTAGTTACTTTGTTACCTCTACCCTGGACTCTTGTAATAACCTATGAACATCTGAAATATGAGTGTTCCAGGGATAGGTGCTGGGATAAAACAGAGAATAATGCATTTCTTTAAGATAGAAATGGAATAAAAAAGCAAAATAGAATGCTGGACTGTAATTTTTAAAAAAGAGGAATCTTAACACAGATATAGGAAAAGCCTTACATTTAGGCAACAACAACAAAAAATGAGAAATTCATGAAGGAGAGACACCTTAATCTCTCCTTCATGAATTTATGATTTTGTCGTTGTTGTTGTAGTCTCTCCTTAGTGGCAGCTTCTGTGGGAAAAGGTCAGGGTATTTGAATTGATTTTAAGTTTAATATGAACCAACACTGTGATGCACCTGCTAAACAAAAATAGTTGATTTTAGGCAGTATTCACAGTGTCTGGATTACTGGAAGTAAAGGTCCCACTGTTCTTTGCCCTGGCCAGACACCCTGCTTATCTTCCACAAATGTGGAAAACTATATCCTGTTTGGGATGCCACATCTAGGAAATGATATAAAAAGAACTGAGAGATGGCTAAAGGAACTAAGGATATTTAATATGGAGAAGAGGAGACGGGGTGAGGGGAAGATGACTTGTCTTCGAGTATTTATAAGGCTGTCATACAGAAGGATGATCAGTTATTTTACTTGTGTAGTTCTAAAGGAGTGGGAAACTAGGCAGTGCAAAAGATAAGCACTGGGCTGGGAATCAGGAAGACCCATTCCTACTTGTTGGCGAGTAAGGTATAAGAAGACTAGAAAAGGAGGGGGGGTAGCTTATTAAGTCTTTGAATGCTAAAGAGAATGTTTTGTATTTGTGTCTGGAGCAATATGAAGCCACTGGAGTTTACTGAGTAGGGTAGGGCTTGAAGGTGACATGATCAGATCTTCATTTTAGGAAAATCACTTTAGTGGCTGAACAGAAGATGGACTGGAATGGGGAAGACAGATCCACCAGCAAGCTGTTGCAATACTCTAGGCATGAAGCGATGGGGTCCTGTACCAGGGTAGCAGCTGTGTCAGAGAAGAGAAGGGAATATATTCGAGAGATGCTGCCAAAGTGAGATAGACAGGTCTTGGCAACAGCTTAAATAAGGGAGCTGAGAGATAGCGAAGAATCCAGGATGACTGGACTTCAGACCTGAGGAACTGGGAGGATGGTGTTCCCTCTACAATCTGGATTATGCAAGGATCTAAACAAAGTAAATGTACTATATATCTAAGGGGAACTTCTCAAGCTTACATGAATGGGACAAAAGGATATCCAGCAATCTGGAGCTGTGTTACCCCTGTGCCACATGTGCTTGAGCCTATGTTCCCCTGGCCTCCATATGCACTTGTGGGAGAGTGTGTTATGGACTTTTAAAGGGAAAGAGGAGTAGAGAGAAGAAAAAGTATAAGAGTATGCAATGGAAGGAAACAATTAACTATCATAACCGTGAATGTGAATAAGACAAATTTACTATTAAAATAGAAGAGGTTAGTAGAATGTAAAGCAAAATCCAACAAGAAGCCTACTTAAACATTAATTCTCACAATTAAAATGAAGGGCTGGAGCAAAATCTATAATGCCTCAGCTGAACACACGCACACAAAAATTACAAGTAGCAATTATGATTTCAGATAAGTCAACAGCAAAAATAAACTTAATTTTTTAAAAACAGAAACTATTTATTTATAAATATCAAAAATATTGAATTAATTTTAATGCTTAGCATATGCACCCAATAGCATAGCTTCTAAATATTTAAAGACACTAAGTTAATTACAAGGAGAAAGAGACAATAAAACTCCAATTTAAATTGAGGGATCTCAGTTTGTCCCTATCAGCCCTTGATAAATTTAACCAAAAGCAAACAAGAATTAAAGGACATGAACAGAATTTTAGAAAAATTAGATATGAAAGAGTCCAATGATTATTAAATGAAAACAGAAAAGAGTATACATATTTCTAAACTGTGCATGACACCTTTATAAAAACTGATCGTGTTCTACAACAGAAAAACCTCAAAAATGCAGAAAAATAGAAATATTATACACATAATTTGTTAATCATAACATAAAAATATATTAAAGGACCACTGGAAAAAAAGTGTTAAAAATCAACTCAAAACTAAATAACTTATCCTAAAAGAATTGCTAGGTAAAAGAATAAATCATAGATATAACAGATAATTTTATTGAAAATAATGACAATAATACAACATCATTCCAAAATTTGGGGGTTGAAGCCAAAGCCGTCCTTAAGGAGAAAAAAGAGAGTAAGAGTGGATTAATGAATTGAGAATGCAACTAAAAATATTAGAAAGCTAACAAAATTTTAAAAAACCCAATTAAACGCCAAAATAGTTTTGCCAGCTTGAGACAGATTTATTACAGAATGCAAAAGGTAGAAGGAATCTTAGAGATTATCTAATTCAAATTCATCAATTAGGGACCACACAGGCTACACATGAACAGAACATAATTGTCACACACACACACACACACACACACACACACACACACACACACACCCCGTAAGCAGCAAAGTCAGTTATATATTTAAACACATAAATTTTTAGGCTATATTCATCATTTAGATCAGGGGTTTTTAGCCTTTTTATGTGTGTCATGGATCCCTTTTACAATCTGGTGAAGCCTATCAACTCCTCAGAATAATGTTTTTAAATGCATGAAATAAAATACAGAAAAGACAAGTAGATAAAGAATTGGTCTATGTAAAAGGAAATTCCTTTTGCTACCTTGATGTGTTCAATTCCACCCATGTTCATCCAGGCCTGTGCTTGGTCTGGGTTCAGTTGCACAGCTACTTGATAGCTCTAAATAAATAAGAAACAGCTTCTGGTCACAAAGCAAATATTCATTAAAAACACATTATGTATGATATATAAACTCCTTTATTTATAGGAAATTTAAATTATTAATACAATTATCATAAAATGACAGCCACTATTTCCATGAATGGACTGTTATATTTTTATGATTTTCTTACATTCACTGGATCACCTAAGTTTTGCTAAGTGTAAAGTGGAAGAAACTAAAAAGTGTAATTTCCCAGCAGAGTCATCCTTGTAGAATCACAGAAACTGTTAGATCTTTTAGAAAATATAAGTGATTTTTATTACGGTACATTAGTTTCCATTGGTCTTAATGTATAAGAACACTGTGCTTTTCAACTGTTTTCATTGTAGGTTATACTAGTAGTAGTAGTGGAAGTAGTAGCAGTACAGGTACTAATTAGTACTAGTAGAAGTAACACTACAGAATCATAAAACTGGAAAGGGACCTGGGAGATTGTCTGCTTCAACCTCACTCTGACACTTACAATATCCCTACTAGGTGGTTACCTAACCTTTGCTTAAATACGCCTAATAATAAAGGAGTTAATTAATTTTCAAAATGGCCTGTTTCATCATGACAGTTCTGTTAGAGAAAGTTCATATACTGAGCTGATATTCATCTTGTTATAGCTTTGATTCATTGCTTCTACTTCAATTTTATTTTTTTGCATCCCCAACACTTAGCACAGAGCTGGGGCTTAATAAATGCTTGTTGCCTACCTGCCTGCCTATTGTTTGGAACTATACAAAATGTCTAATCCCTTCTTCCAAAGGGTAGTTCTTCAAATATTTGAAGGTAGCTATCAAATATTCCCCATTCCTTCAATGTTTCTGACAAATATCTTTCTTGATTCCTTGAGATTTTGATCACCCTCCTCTGGATGCTCTTCAGTTTGCCAACAAAATGTAGTCAGTCTGACCATAGAAGATTTATAATAAAACTGTTATCTCCCTTGATCTGCACACTATACTTTTATTAACATGGCCCAAGATTATATTAGCTTTTTTTAAAGCAATGTTGTCACATTACTTTGTCATATTAAATTTCTGATCAACTCAAGCCTTCCAGTCTTTTTCAAATGTCTCACTGTCAAGTCTGACTTAATTTACTTTGTTCTTATACAACTGATTATTTTGAAGATAAATGAAATGCTTTATGTTTAGCAGGGTTAAACTTCATTTATTTTGGCTTTAACTAGGATAGGCAGTTTAGCTTATTATCTTAGCCTATCTAGATTTACCAAAAGTAATAACAATAAGACAGTAGAAGCAAGACATTGTTGTGACTAATTAATTTTATTCTCCATGAAGGAAGGGACTTTGATTCTTCTTTGTCTATTCCATAGCAAATTGAATAGCTCAAATTAAATTATATTTGTAAAAAGCACTTTACAAACTTTAAAGCATTATATAAATGTTAGTTATTATCATTATTATTTGTCACCTTTAATACTTAGGGAAATGTTTTACATATGGTAGGTGTTTAATAAATCCTTGTTGAATAAAATGACCAGAAAACAAATTCAAATCAGGGAAGAAAGGAAGGAAAGAAAGTGAAAGAAAGAAAAAGGGAGGAAAAAGAAAGAAAGAAAAAAATAACTTTTAGAGGGTACATCCTACTTTTGAGAAATTACCTAAATTATATAAGGGTGGTAATCTACCTTGGTGTAAGACTTTCCACAATAAGAGTCTCACCTGACTAATCATAGATTCTTCATGTATTCAGGCATATTTATCTGTGTGTTCATATACACAAAAATATATACCTATACACAAACACACACACACATATTCATAAGAGGTGGCATGGCATAGGGGATAAAATGCTAAGTTTGGAAACAGATGCCTAAATTAAATCCTGTCCTTGAAAAACGAGGTGGATGATTATAGTCATGCCCAAGCTCAATGTACCTCAAGAAACTTTCTAGAATTTATCTAAATTATGCATAGGTTATAATCTATCTTGATGGAGGGCCTTGACATACCAAGAGTTTCCTCTACTGATAAAACCACAGATTCTTCACATATAATTGTATATTTATTTGTGATTAAATTTATGATGTTAGAATATTATAACAAGTTACCATTGTTTCAACTAAATGGGATAGACAATAAATGCTTAATATTTCATTGAAGAGAGAAATCAATTTGGGCTTAGATAGACAGAAAATTCTATTTATGGTAGAGGTTGAACTTGAATTGAACCTTGAAGGATGGATGTAATTCAAATAGGCAGAGAATAGGGTGGATAAGGTGTTTTGGGGAGGGAGAATGGAAAGAACTAAGCCATAGAGACATAATCTGAATATTTAAGACATGTTCACAGGATTAAATTTACTAATCTGATTGTAGTGTAGTGTTCATGCAGGTAAGTAACTGTAGAAAAAGTTGGAAAGGTAGGTTGGGACAAAGTTAGGGAGGGTCTTGATGATATAAGAATGATGACTCTAAGGCACTATTAGATCCTCAATTATGATTTTTTTAAAAAAAGGATTCAGTTATGCTTATTAAATTATCATTACATATTATATTTATATACTATGTAATTATACTTATATTCATAAGACAAGAAATGGCAATAATATGTTTAGAAATATTTCCCAAAATGTTTGAAAGGAAAAGAATCAATAAGGAAGTTCAATTAGTCAGGTGACCATATTTCTTAAGCATACTAGTTATAATTAAAGTTTATTCTGTATAACTTTAAGCATTTGAAATTCCATCAGTATGGGTACTCCCTTCACCTCCCTTCATATCACGATTCCTCTATGATTTAATGGGTGTTTTCAATAGTTACTGTGGCTAAAATACCCATGAAACCCTACAACCAGACAGGTGAAAAGCCTCCACAAACTCACCTATGATAATTCTTGAAAAACAAACACACCCTATCAAGAGACCTACACATAAAACCTCTCTAGTTTAGGAGGACCTGCCAGAGCTGGGGCTGGCACTGCCTCCTTGCCAAAACAGTACCCACCATGCCATGATGCACTGAAACAGAACATTAATGAAGAACTCTAATTCATTATAATTATTGAAATAAAAAATGGAGCACCTTGGAATTGTTCAGCATACCTCAAATGCTTTATCAAGAAAATTCTGTTCTCTTAATTGGTTTCCTTTTGTGAAGAAAAGCTCAGATACGACTTTAGGGTCCTTTGGCTTTAGCTGTAGAGCTTTATCTATAGCTTCTAGTGCCTAAAGAAGGAAAAAAATAACATAAGAAAGAATTCTATATTGTAAAAATCCACTTAACATAACACTATTTATATGGCATTTGTTTGGTACTGTAGGGTATAGGACAATGGCTATCAAAAGACCCAGGCGCTAATCCTAACTTTGCCACTGACAAATGGTCTGATCTTCAGGAAGTCACTTCACTCCCCTATACCTCAGTTTCCCCCTTTATAAACTGGTATTAATTGGAATATGTGAGAAAAAAAACCACATAGCTAACATCTATATAGTGCTTATCATGTGCTAGGCATTGTGCTAAGCACTTTACAATTATTATCTTCTTTGATTCTCACAATAATCCTAAGAGGTAGGTGCTATTATCCTAGAGTGCTATCCCCACTTTATAGATGAGGAAACTGAAGCAGATAGAGGTTAAGCGACTTCCTCAGAGTTGTATAGCTAGTAAGTATCTGAGGTCACATTTGAACTCAAGTCTTCCTGATTCTAGGCCCAGCGCTCTTTCCACTGCACCACCTAGCTGCCTATAGATGCTACTCACATTTCAAAGGTGAAAAATGAAAAATAAACAGCTCAAATGCTCCATAAGTATCCTTATAAATGTCAGGGGGAATCAGGGAAAGGTCTCCAGCACGTTGGATGAATCTTTTGTGGAGAACTAATTGGTAGATATGAACAATGGTCACAAAGGATGGACATACAGGAGGTTGCAATCTCCACGATTGTACTTTGTATCCAACTTTGGTAATACAGTATTATTCTGAGAGTGAAAATAAAGTGATGTAATATTATATAAGACGATTGTTAGTTTTTTGAAGGAAAAATGCTATGAAGTCCAAGGCAATATTGTTGTTTAAAGATAGAAATTGCATTATAACTCGTCATAGAGCCATCTGGTTAAAATATATGTGTAAGATACTCAGTGATATGAATAACCCCAAGAGAACCAAGCTTTTATCCATGTTTGAATTTAGAAGCTCTTTATCTACTTATCCTATCCTACCAGTGGACCCAGAGAACATTTAAAAGGAAAAGCAGCACTTTACTCAAGCACCACAGTACCTTGGGGTAATGTTCTTGCTTGCTGTAGATTGCTGACAACAGGCGATAACATTCCAGGCATCCAGCCTCTTCTGACACAATGTGGTTGGTCATTTTTTCAGCTTCTTCTGTCTGCCCCATCATAGCTAAAACCTGAGCCTAAAAAACAATTTCAAAACCTTGTTTTTAAAATATTCTCTAAGATTTCCTTCCAAATAAAATTTTACTTACCATAGTCATTCAGTATATATTAACAATGTTTTGGTTTAAGTATTTTCAGAGCTTGTCTAGTAATTCACTGATAGTGCTTCACTAACTCTCTGATAGTGTCTGGTTCTCCTCTTATCCCTTAGGTCACTGGGAAGAATCATCTGCTAAGATAGCCCTCTGAGAATGAAAGATTTTTACCTAGACTCCCAGTTCTGAATATATTTTTATGGTTTTTAGCAGGTAAGTGTGCAAGTGGGTAAGTTTCATTTGTTGCTGCCTTCATGAATAGGAAGAGCAAATGATTAGGGTATGAGTATCTTTGATGAATGAATTTAATACTTGGTAGCATTTACTATCTTAAGAGAAAATAACTAGGATCCTGTAGGTGCCAGGGTTTATTGACTGAAAGAATGCCACTGATTGGGTAAAACACACATTGTTCATATTTTTGTCTTGTTGGGATTTGATAATTGACTGGCATCCTAGGATTTGCAGTTTATAGGGAGAAGTATTCCCTCTCAGTCATGAAAGTGATTTGGGAATATGAAGATCTCTGAGCAGGAGGACAGGGTTGAGTCATGGTTGGAAGTTCTTAGAGGAATACACACAGTCTGCAAGAAAGAAGGAGAAAGAAGTGGGGACTAAAGGGACTGAATGACAGTAGAAGCTATGGGTAGACTTTCAAGTCCTACTCAGGACTAACAAAGCCAAGATGGAAAGAATCAGAGCCATAGAGGCAACAGGCAAAAACTACAAACAGAGGACAGAAGTGTGTCAGAGAGATTGAGGTAGGCCACTGGGCACTGTATACATCCATGAACAGAGGATTAAGACTGAAGCTATTGGTTTTACCTACATCTTCAAGGACTGAGGGAAGGTCACCCAAAAAATTTACCTTTTCCCCAACTTTCCCTCATCATGCCTGTCCAGCAACAGACACAGTAACATACTCTGCTCACTTCTTTTACCTAAATATTTTCTTGTATCCTCATTTTTGCCTCATGCATAAAGAGGCTACAGATTAACTTCAGTGAAACAAAAAATTCAACTGGTCAATGAGCCAAACCTATCTTACTGTTAGGAATTTTCCTAACTGGAGGTTTCAAGCTATTTTAATTATGTTGTTGTTGTTTGTCCATTGTTCTCGAAGAGGACCATGACATCAGGAAGGTGATGCCATGACTTGCAAGTGAATTGGATTTAAGTGAAGAGGGCTGTGCAAAGTCACCAGCCTCACTTTCTCCTCCAGAGCCATCTGGCAATATATAGATCAGGACAACTAGAGATAGCCCTGGATGCAGTGAGAGACCTTGGCCTTTTTAGCTACGGTCTTTCCCAGGTCTCAGTTTGTCTGAAGCAACTCTTAATCAGTGACTAAGGCTAGGTAAGAAATGAGGCAAAGAATGGCCTCTTTTTCCTAGTAAAAAAAATAACAAACTATCTGAGAGAGGAAGACCCTCAGGGTTTCTGGCCAAAATAGAAACAGTTGCTATTTATATTTGCTCTGAGCCCATAGTTACTCTAACAGTAACTTAAACTACTTTCCTTTCAAGACTGCACTGACATTTTATGGCCAAACTACAGTCATACTGGGACCTGAATTCTCATTCACCTTTATACACTCAGTGTTACCTCCATAGAGCTTTTCTTTTTTTTTTTTTAGGCAATTGGGGTTAAGTGACTTGCCCAGGGTCACACAGCTAGTCGCCACCTAGTTGCCCCTCCATATAGCTTTTCAGCAAACACATATACCAGACACCATCCAAATGCACCCTTGGTTGGAGGTCCTTCCCTTTTTTTGGGGGGGGGCAATTGGGGTTAAGTGACTTGCCCAGGGCCACACAGCTAGTAAGTGTCAAGTATTTGGTCTGAGGCCAGATTTGAACTCAGGTCCTCCTGACTTCAGGGCCAGTGTTCTATCCACTGTGCCACCTAGCTGCCCCCATTCCTTTTTTTAAGGTCCAGCTCAAGAGCCACCTCTTCCATGAAGCCTTCGCTGAATGCTTGCTTCCATTCCCCTCCCCTATCCTTCCCAAACCCTTTTCTACCCCTTCCCCCAACTCCTGAATTCTTAATTTCCCTCCTGCTCTAATTTCTCATGATACTTTGTTCCGAGCCCTCTGATACTCTTCACCACATTTTGATTTGTATTTTTATGTCTTTGTATTTGGGTCTCTTCCTTCTCGCTAGATTGAAAGCTCCCTGAGAGTAGGGACTGTGTTATTCATTATATTTCCAGCCTAAAACAGATCACTTTAATTACTTTTTCCCTGACATAAACTCCATAAAATAGAGAAAAGCACTAAGTGTACCCAAGAACCATTACATTCCTTCTAGGTCAAAAGGCCAATAAGTCCTGAGCAGGGCTGCAAAGTCTCCCCACAGTGCTCAGCTCTTGTAATCTCTGCTCCTTTCTCTCCATTTTCTTGTAGACAGTATTTTTCCCTTTAAGAGTTCCCAGGTGTGACTCAAGTTTGCCTTCTGGCTCAAATGTCTCCATTTTCCCAAATTCTTCTCAGAACAGAGTACTACCAATTCCTGAATGTCAATCAGTTCTTAAATCCCTCTTATCTTTGGATTCAATTGTTCTTACCAGAGCCAGCTGGATTTCCTTAGCTGAAGGCTGGAGTGCTGCAGCTTCACGGTAAATCTGTAATGCCTCTTCGTACCTGCCAGTGTTATAATATAGTGCTCCCAAGGGGGACAGTATTTCAGCTGTCCGTGTTATATCCAGGGCCCTAAATGTACAGAAAGAGCACAATGCCATTTTTTCACTTTGATCCTTTCCTGGATTTGTGATCTGTGCAGATTGTTAGCCCTTCAAACTTCATTTTGGGTGATTCTTGTCCATATCATTCTATAACACTTTCCTTTATGTTTCAGAAATTTCTCTCAAGATTCTTTGTTCAAATTTTATGATTTCAGTATGTATCAAGACAAAGGAAATACAGATAATCTATCAATCAGCATTTGATAAGAACCCACTATGTGTCAGGCACTGGGCTAGGGGCTAGCAATACAAAGTCAGAAAATGAAACAATTCCTGCCCTCAAGAAGGTATGTAATCATACTTTCCTTGTAATAAAGAGATGACTCTCCTGAGTCATTATATTTATTCAAGAATACATATTTGGAGGGTCTTTTCTAGGGGAGGCAATGGATTTGTGTTGATCGATCTGCATTCTTTCACCTAGATTTATTTAAAATTATGTATATGGCTGACTGGGATTATCTAGTTTGTGATTTCGGAAATATGGATACTTTTGCTGGAACAGTGTTTTTTCTGGAAAGCTACAATACTATTCCTCATTCAGGGCTATTTGAACTGATAAAATGAATTGATAAACCATGCTAGTGTCTAAGATCTTTTCTTCTTCAACAAACCAAAAGGTGATGGTTGACATGCGAAGCTGTAGGGGAAAGCCTAGGCAATCCTCAGGCTTCTAAATTGTATGGAAAATAAAGAAAAAAAATGCTCTTTAGTACCTGAGTCTAGGGAAGCTCAGATTCACTAAATGGAGGAACACCACATAGTCATGAAGAGGATTTATGTTATACTTATTTTAGCACTCTTCTGTTGAAAGGATTTTTATATCTTTTCAGAGACTCACCATCCCTACTCATCCTCCTTTAAAATCAAGGATGAGCAGACTACTGACAGTCCTTCGGCTAAGAGAAAAACTGTATAAAAGTTTTAGTGCAGCCCTTCTGCAAACCAAAGAAAAGTCTGAGAAAAGAAATAACCAACACAACCAATTTCATTAGCTTACTCAACTAGTAAAATATGTATTGAGATGACATCTACATCCTACTTCTACCCTCTGGAATGACACATATTAAATGTAATTAATCTCTTTACAAAGTGACAGCTGCTCAAACATTTGAAGCCAGCTGTCATGTCCTCTTTCCCAGCATTATCAAGGGAAAAGCGTTAGACAAACGGTTAGAAAAATTAAAGTTGAATTTATGAGGAGCTTCAAAAGTATTGTTAATGTTTTATTTCAAGACAAGTTGGAAGAAGGAACCACTTTTTTTTTCACCTCAAATGCTTACCGTTTGTACCATTTCTCAGCTTCTTTGTTCTCTCCCAAAGACCTGTAGAGTCTGCCAAGGTTAACCATGGCCACATGATGACGTGGGCTAAGTTGGATGGCCTGTTGGTAGTGGTACATTGCACTTTCTGGAGCCCCTGAAATCAGGGAAGAGGTTGCTGAGACTTGGATGTCCCTGAAGTTGTCAAATACTTGAGTATTTTAATTTCTCCTCTACTTTTATAATTACATTGATCAATATTAATTCAGCAAACTATGAATCAGTCTGCTTCTTGTCCTTCCTGATGCCTAGTTTGGGGATTATTTAACAAAGTTGCAGAATATTTAAGCTGAAAGCAGCTCATTCGCATCTCAAGTAAGGGCTGGGCAAGATAAATAAAAAGAAATCATATAATCATTAAATCTTAAAAGCTGAAAGAGATATTGGAAATAATTGGCATAACCTCTTTTGTGATGAATTATCTCCTTTACAGCATCCCTGACAAGTGGCATCTAACCTCTGTTTGTATTGAAATGTTCATCACTGGAGAGTTCAATCTTTTGGACTGTTCTGATTATTAGAAAGTTTCTCTTGACTTGGAATCTGCCTTCTTATCAGTTTCATCCATTGCTACTCGTTGTTATGGAGGAGAGGTAATGAGTACCCAAACAGTTATGACAGAAAGCAGAATGTGATGTAAGAAGTCCCAAAAATACTATGAGAAATTTTTAAAAAGACACATCACTTTAAGCAGGGAGAAAAGGAAGGGAAATTGATGGTAGTGGTGAAGGAAGTATTTATGAGGAAAATGGCACTTGAAATGGGACTTAAAAGCAGAAACTTCCACAGACAGATGGTGGCATATATTCTAGGTAAGGGAGATGGTTTAAGTAATGGCACAGAAAACTGGAGAGGGTAGGAAGAAAAGAAAATGGAGAGTTGGCCAGTATGTGTATGAAGGCAAACATTATGTGTGAAGGCAAGTATTACGAGATGATTTTAAAAATTTAATATTTTCTTTTTTCCTATTTAGATGTAAAAATGATCGCAGCATTCTTTTTTTAAATTATGAGTTCCAAATTCTCTCCCTCTTTCCCTTCCCCCATTGAGAAGGTGAGCAATTTGATATGTATTATATATATGTAGTCATATAAAACACATTTCCACATAAGTCATGCTGTGAAACAAAACACAGATAAAAATAAAGAAACTAAAAAAAAAGTATCTTCAATCTGCATTCAGGCTCCACCAGTTCTTTTTCTGGAGATGGACAGCACCTATCATTATTAGTCCCTCAAAACTATCTTGGATAATTGTATTGCCGATAATAGCTAAGTTATTCACAACAGATCATCATACAATCTTGCTGTTACTGTGTACAATGTTCTCCTGGTTCTGCTCATTTCACTTTGCATCAGTTCATGTAAGACCAGGTTTTTCTTTTTTCTTTTTCTTTTCTTTTCTTTTGTTGCATTTTGTGGTGAGGAAATTGGGGTTAAGTGACTTGCCCAGGGTCACACAGCTAGTAAGGGTCAAGTGTCTGAGGTCAGATTTGAACTCAGGCCCTCCCAACTCCAAGGCTGGAGTTCTATCCACTGGGCCATTTAGCTGCCCCAATAGATTCTCTCTTTTTTGTTTTCTGTACTTTGCTAGGCAATGGGGTTAAGTGACTTGCCTAGGGTCACACAGCTAGTAAGCATAAAATGTCGGAGGTCGGATTTGAACTCTGGTCCTCCTGACTGCAGGGCCAGTGCTCTATCCACTGCACCACCTAGCTGCCCCTAAGACCAGGTTTTTCTGAAGGCATCCTGCTCATCATTTTTAATAGCACAATAATATTTAATCACAATGATATATCACAACTTGTTCAGTCATTCCCTAATTGATGAACGTCCCCTCAATTTCTAATTTTTTGCCACCACAGAAAGAGCTGCTGTAAATATTTTTGTACATATAGGTCCTTTTCCTTTTTTTAAATCTTTTTGGGATACATACCTAGTAGTGGTGTTACATATTCAAAGAGTATTATAGTTTTATAGCCCTTTGGGCATAGTTCCAAATTGCCTGCCAGCATGGTTGAATCAGTATACAAATTTACCAACAGTGCATTTGTGTTTTAATTTTCCCATATCCCCCTCAACATTCATCATTTTTCTTTTCTGTCATATTAACTAATTTGATAGTGTGTAGTGGTAGCTCAGAGATGTTGCAATTCTCTAATCAATAGTGATTTAGAGCATTTTTTCATGACTACAGATAGCTTTGATTATTTTGTTTGAAAATTGGCTGTTCATATCCTTTAATCATTTATCATTGAGGAATGGCTCTTATTTTTATAAATTTAATCCATTTCCTATATGTAGTCTTTATCAGAGAAACTTGCTGTGAAATTTTTTTTCACAGTAATTCTTACCAACTATGTATTTCCCCAACCAGTATATATCCTACTTTCTCTCTTTTCACTCTGTCTCTCCTCAAAAGTGTTTTGCTTCTGACTTTTACTTTCCCCAATTTGCCCCTCCTGTTGCTCCCCCTTATTCTCTTCCCTTCCTACTTTCCTGTACGGTAAGATAGATTTTTTTGAGCCAAATCAAATGAGAGTAAGGTTCATGTACTTCCCACCTCCCTTCCCTCATCTTCCCTTCCACTGTAAAATCTTTTTCAGGCTTCTTTTATGTCAGGTAATTTACTCCATTCTATATCTCCCTTTCCCCTTCTCCCAGTGCATTCTTCTTTCTCACTCCTTAATTTTTTTGATAATTATTCCATCATATTCAACTCATACCTGTGCCCTCTGACTATGTATACACCTTCTAATTGCCCTAATAATAAGAAAGTTTTTGGGAGTTTACAAGTATCATTTTCCTATGTAGGAATGTAAACACTTTAACCTTATTGAATCCCTTATGATTTCACTTTAATGTTACCTTTTTATACTTCTTTTGAGTGTTGTATTTGAAAGTCAGATTTTCTATTAAGCTGTGCTCTTTTCATCAGGAATGCTTGAAAGTCCTATATTTCATTGAATGAACATTTTTTTCTTGAAGGAAAATATACTGAAGGATTATACTGTATTTTGCTGGTAGGTGATTCTTGGTTGTAATCCTACCTCTTTTGCCCTCTGGAATGTCATATTCCAAGTCCTTAGATCTTTTAATGTAGAAATTACTAACCTTGTGTTAGCCTGACTGGCTACATGATATTTGAATTGTTTCTTTTTGACTGCTTGCAATATTTTCTCTTTGGCTTGGGAGGTCTGGAATTTGGCTATAATATTCCTGGGAGTTTTCATTTTGGGATCTTTTTTAGGAGGTGATCAGTGGATTCTTTTAATTTCTATTTTACCCTCTGGTTCTAGAATATCAGGGTAATTTTCCTTGGTACTTTCTTGAAAGATGATGTTTAGGCTCTTTTTTTGATCATGGTTTTCAGGTCATACAATAATTCTTAAATTATCTGTCCTGTATCTGTTTTCCAGGTTAGTTGTTTTTGCAATGAGATATTTCACATTTTCTGTTATTTTTTCATTCTTTTGATTTTCTTTTATTGGGTTTTTTTTGGGTGAGGCATTTGGGGTTAAGTGACTTGCCCAGGGTCACACAGCTAGTGAGTGTCAAGTGTCTGAGGCTGGATTTGAACTCAGGTCCTCTTGATTACAAGGCAAGAGCTCTATCCACTGCACCACCTAGCTGCCCCACTTTTATTGTTTTTTGATGTCTCATGAAGTCATTAGCTTCATGTGCCCAATTCTAATTTTTAAGGAATTATTTTCTTCAGTGAGCTTTTGTACCTCCTTTTCCAGCTGGCCAATTCTGCTTTCAAGACATTCTTCTCTTCATCGGATTTTTGTACCACTTTTACCATTTGGCCTATTCTGGTTTTTTAAGGTGTTGTTTTCTTCACTATTTTTTGTTCCTGCTTTACCAAGCTGTTCTTCCATGGACAATTTATATTTTTCTCTGAGGCATTAGGTGTAGGAGTTTTGACCTTTTTGTCTTCTTCTGAGTTTGTGTTTTAATCTTTCCTGTCACCATAGTAACTTTCTATAGTCAGCATCTTTGTCTGCTGTTTGCTCATTTTCTATCCTATTCCTTGACTTTTATCTCTATGCTCTCCTGAGGCTGCAAGATCTAGTATGCCAGTGACCCTCCTTGCCCGAGGACTGAGAACCAGAACTGTGCCCCAGATCCAAGTAGGAGCAATGTAACAGAGGCCTGCCCCTAGTGCCAGCAAAAGGATCCCTGTAATCTTTTTCTGACCAGTTGTCTGACCCCCTTACCATTTGTGGGCTGAGAGGTCCTGAAACCACCACTCCTGCCACTGATTCTGTTGTCTCCAAGGCCTGCTCCTATTGCTGGGATCAGGTCTGTGTTGGGGCAGCCTGTACCGGACTGTGCTCAACTCTCACCATGTTGCAACAGACCTTTCCTGCCAACTTTCTAAGTTGTCTTGGGCTGAAAAATTGTTTCACTCCATCCTTTTGTGGGTTCTGACACTCTAGAACTTGTTTGGAGGCATTTGGGGGAGACCTGTGATGGGGGAGTCTCTGCTTTTCTCTGGCAACTTGGTTCGGCCTCCATGAAATGATTCTTGAAAGGGAGGTTGGGACCAGAATGTGACAAGGTCCTTTCCTGTCTAGCTTTGAGTAAGAAGATTAGGAATTTATTCAGTAGGCAATTGGGAACCACTGAAGGTTTTTGACCGGGAGAGTGAGATAACAGTTTGGTACTGGCTAAGAAATAGAGTGGTAGATGAGTGGAATAAGTTAGGTACACAAGACACAGTAATCAGTGACTATAGTAATCTACTCCTTGATAAACCCAAAGACTTTAGCTTCTGGGATAAGAACTCAACATTAAACATATTTTAATAATATATTATATATATATTATATTAACACAATATAACATATATTAACAATATTTAACAAAAATAGACAGAAACTAGGTATAGACCAACATATTACACTGTATACCAAAATGAGATCAAAATGGGTACATGATTTAGACATACAGGGTGATACCATACACAAATTAGGAGAGCAAGGAATAATTTACCTGTCAGATCTATGAAGAAGAGAAGAATGACCAAACAAGAGACAGAGAACATTATAAAATGCAAAATGGATAATTTTAATTACATTAAATTTAAAAGGTT